TGTAGGAGTACAACTAATTAAGTAATAGTCTCAACAACTAGTTTAAGTTCATCTTGTTTTTCCTCCTCACCCTTTACTGCAAGGGCATATACGTCTCCAGTATCCTACTATCCTTTACATCTTCCTTAATGACAGGAATAATATGAAAGGGTCTACTTTTTGGTTGAGGTGCTACGGGACAACTCTCTCTCACTATAGGGATATGGACAATCTTAACACCATCTTTTTAAAAAGTCTAAGTGGTGTCTTTGCCTTTATGGACAACATTTAGATCATAGTGTCATGGTCTCTCCAATAGAATATGATACACATCCAATTCGACAACATCAATATTGTGTTTATATTTTTCAATTGAAATATGGATACGACATTGTTCTGCTACCTCAATTTTGTCGAGGCTCTTAATCCACACAATAGTATAAGGAGAAGGGTGTTTCTCTGTCTGTAACTGCAACTTGTTGACCTCCTCGTGGGACACAATATTGTCACTACTACCACCATCAATAATCAACTGACAAACCCTCTAGTTCATGGTGTATGTGGTCCAAAAGATATTATGCCTCCAAATGTCTTGTTCGATCTTAGGAGTATACATCAATTGACGAACAACAAGGGAGATCCTCTTATCACCATATATCTACACACTCTCATCCTGTTCCTCAAAAAACTCATCCTCTACCTAGCAGTTCTCCTCTTGATTAGCTTCTTCCGCATCAACCAGATTCACTGTACACCTCTTAGAGCATCTCCAACAATACTATCTAAAATAACTACTCAAAATATATTTAAATATTGTATTATCTACTTTAACTAACCACTTTTTCAAATTCACTCCAATAACGCTATCTATTTTAGCTAACCACTTCAACTAACTTTAACTAACTTTCAATAGTAAAATTCAAGAAATAGCAATTCAACTATACATTGTACAAATTTAATCAATTGAGTTTGATCGAAAACTTCTGAAGGCTTTGAGTTTGATCAAACTGGATGTTATCACCTCTCCTTCGATCGCCTCATCCAAACACTAAACCAACAACTTCTAAAGTAGCTAGAGGGAACTGGCTAGGTAGATGTAGCTAGTGAAAATGGGGTTATGAAAAATAGATAGTGAAATAGCTAGTCTGCTGGAGCCACATTTTAGGGATAAGCTATCTAAAATAGCTAAATAGGGGGTTTTAGCTACCCTTTTAGAGTTGCTCTTAGGGCTCAGGTTAGAGCAATGGCCTAGCTGACCACATTGGTAACGCTTATCCCTTCTAGATCTAGCATAGGGTTTCTTCAGTGCTTCATTGACTCTTAGACTACAACCCAAAACAAAGGCTACTTTCCTTGCAGGTACCCTACTTTTTTTGGATTCTTGGTCTTGGACTGGCGAAGGTTTTGAGCACCACTAATCTACTTTCTTTAATTCACCACAGGATGTGATGAATCAAAGAACTCTGGTTCTAAAATTTGGACATAGCTCTGTCCAACTAGGTCTGTACCTTTCTGGCAATGTGAATAACTAACGTTAAAGAAAACAAGGCTTGCAAGAAAACTCTATCTCTACCCCCAATAAACCAAGCAATTTTTTGGGACTCGATCTCATTCAGGTTATTGTGGAAAAAAAATCTCTGGAGCTCCTTCGTATACGTTTAAATGGATATGTTGCCCTATTTGAAATCTTGATATACCTACTCATAAACCAGGAGTGAAAACATCAATCTCAGTAACCTTCTCATCTTCGACCAAGCACAGATTGGATACTGGCCTTCTCTGATACAAGCAAGTTGGATCTATTCCCACCAACAAGAAGCCCCTCCTTTCAACTTATACGCCACTAGCTTCACCTTCTTTGCTTTTGTAACATTCTTGTAATCAAAAAATCACTCTACTTCTACCAACCAGTTAAGAAATCCTCAATATGAAGATGAACATTGAAACTGGGTAAGTAAAGCTTCATCAAAAAATTTCTAGACTCACGACCAAGATTTCTATAATCTGCAACGTTATCCAATAAATCATCATCGACATAGTTGGAATCTATAATGGGTGCTGCTTTGAGAGGAACACCACCTATGTTTTGTCTCGCCGGTTAGACAAGATTTCAATCCCGATTGGGTTAAACACGAGCCTTATCACTGTTCACCCATTCTCGATTAGGATCCTAGTTTAGACCCACCGTCAACTGGGCTACCATGTCATATAGTGCTTGCAAGAATTGCTGGAACTGTCGAGATTGGTATTGTTGTCGTTGAAAATTCAAGAATTTGGCTCGAGAGAGAGCCCCTTGCACATGACCACTGTCATTATGAAGATTGTCATCGCTTCGGTGGTTGGCCATCACAGGTTAGTTAAGACTCTGATCCCAATCAATNTAACGCTATCTATTTTAGCTAACCACTTCAACTAACTTTAACTAACTTTCAATAGTAAAATTCAAGAAATAGCAATTCAACTATACATTGTACAAATTTAATCAATTGAGTTTGATCGAAAACTTCTGAAGGCTTTGAGTTTGATCAAACTGGATGTTATCACCTCTCCTTCGATCGCCTCATCCAAACACTAAACCAACAACTTCTAAAGTAGCTAGAGGGAACTGGCTAGGTAGATGTAGCTAGTGAAAATGGGGTTATGAAAAATAGATAGTGAAATAGCTAGTCTGCTGGAGCCACATTTTAGGGATAAGCTATCTAAAATAGCTAAATAGGGGGTTTTAGCTACCCTTTTAGAGTTGCTCTTAGGGCTCAGGTTAGAGCAATGGCCTAGCTGACCACATTGGTAACGCTTATCCCTTCTAGATCTAGCATAGGGTTTCTTCAGTGCTTCATTGACTCTTAGACTACAACCCAAAACAAAGGCTACTTTCCTTGCAGGTACCCTACTTTTTTTGGATTCTTGGTCTTGGACTGGCGAAGGTTTTGAGCACCACTAATCTACTTTCTTTAATTCACCACAGGATGTGATGAATCAAAGAACTCTGGTTCTAAAATTTGGACATAGCTCTGTCCAACTAGGTCTGTACCTTTCTGGCAATGTGAATAACTAACGTTAAAGAAAACAAGGCTTGCAAGAAAACTCTATCTCTACCCCCAATAAACCAAGCAATTTTTTGGGACTCGATCTCATTCAGGTTATTGTGGAAAAAAAATCTCTGGAGCTCCTTCGTATACGTTTAAATGGATATGTTGCCCTATTTGAAATCTTGATATACCTACTCATAAACCAGGAGTGAAAACATCAATCTCAGTAACCTTCTCATCTTCGACCAAGCACAGATTGGATACTGGCCTTCTCTGATACAAGCAAGTTGGATCTATTCCCACCAACAAGAAGCCCCTCCTTTCAACTTATACGCCACTAGCTTCACCTTCTTTGCTTTTGTAACATTCTTGTAATCAAAAAATCACTCTACTTCTACCAACCAGTTAAGAAATCCTCAATATGAAGATGAACATTGAAACTGGGTAAGTAAAGCTTCATCAAAAAATTTCTAGACTCACGACCAAGATTTCTATAATCTGCAACGTTATCCAATAAATCATCATCGACATAGTTGGAATCTATAATGGGTGCTGCTTTGAGAGGAACACCACCTATGTTTTGTCTCGCCGGTTAGACAAGATTTCAATCCCGATTGGGTTAAACACGAGCCTTATCACTGTTCACCCATTCTCGATTAGGATCCTAGTTTAGACCCACCGTCAACTGGGCTACCATGTCATATAGTGCTTGCAAGAATTGCTGGAACTGTCGAGATTGGTATTGTTGTCGTTGAAAATTCAAGAATTTGGCTCGAGAGAGAGCCCCTTGCACATGACCACTGTCATTATGAAGATTGTCATCGCTTCGGTGGTTGGCCATCACAGGTTAGTTAAGACTCTGATCCCAATCAATGTGGTGGTAGTGAAAAGACACGAAGAAATCATTGTCTCTATGTGTAAAGAACAAGAACACCCTAAATCTACAAAAAAGAATGAAAGAATAATTCTAAAAAGATGTATGAGTGACTGCATAATTCGTATTACATAGGAAAATATATATATGAATGGTTGAAACCCTAATCGTTCCCATAATGGAAACAAAATCCCTAATTATACGAAATTTACCAACAAAAAAATTACAATCTAACTAATTAGCATAAAAGCACATGTCGTCTAGAGTCTGACAGAACTGATGATATTGAATTTAGAATCTCTAATGATTTATTATTAATTTTTGATTTTTTTCATAAAACCGCAAAAACAGTGTTTCGAAAGCCTAAATAATGGAATTCGACCCAAAATTGAAGGAGCTTATAGCAAAGCGATGAGCCTTAATTGTTGGCCCAGCCTAGACCAAAATCTCTTATGATTTATTATTATTATTTTCTTTTTTTGGGAAGAGGAAGGGGGACTTGAACCCTTAACCTCAAGAAGACAAAGGCTTCACAAGACAAGGAGTATCATTGAACCAAAGGCCCATTGGTATTATGATTTATTATTAATTTTTGAATTCTTTCCTAAAATGGCAAAAACAAAGTTTTGAATGCTTAAACGATGGAATTCAACCCAAAACTGAAGGAGCTCAAAACAAACAAATGAATTTTATTGGCCCAATCCAGATCAAATACCATTCATTCCACTGAATTTCAAGTCTAACCCATTTTACTTCTATTATTTCTTTTTGACATTTTGTTGCGCTTTGAAGGCACTATAGTCTACTGGATTCAAGTAATCTAGTGTCAGTAGGTATGAATTTGGTGGATAGGTTTTTATTTGATTTTTATTAAATGGTGACATGGTCGTATAATAATTTCTGCCATCCTTTTGCAGATGGAGCATAATAAATATGAACTTTAGGGATGATTCATATAATTTTTTCTTCTAAATGGCTATACCCTCTCGCAGGTCCAAAACGATTGCCATTACGTATGACAAAAACAACAGATTCTCACCTAAAAATCAAACAACCAAAATCTGCAATATATACAGTAGCAAATTATAGTCATTGCAAGTGATTGTAACTGACTCTGCACAAGGAGGGAAGTAAAGCAACTAACATGACAAGCAAAAGGATTACATTTGTGCCAAGCCACAACATTTTTGTCAAAGGGTGGCCTGAAATTCCCAAATCCTATATTCAACACGAAGTTAAAAAGAACATTAATTTTCATGGATGAAACGCCTTCGACGCTGTACTTCGCCGTCCGAGGAAGACTCTGAGATGTTATTACAAACACCATTTTCAAATGGAGTGAAGAGGTTTGCACAATTAATGACCCATTGATCACTGCATTCTCCTTGCCCATTGTCTTGCACCGAGGCCCCTTCAATAGATCCATCAGTTAGAAATGCATGTTGCTGATATAATCTTGCCACTGTACTCTGAGCTTGATTGGGATATTGATCCACCAAATCACCTATCATTTCAATCAAAATATTATTACCCCAGATAAAATAGAAATTCAGACTCTGAGATTCTACTTGCCCATTGTCTTCCGCTGAAATTCCACATTACAGTCATCTGGGTCTAATTCAAAACAGAGAAGAGTATGTGATGCCCGTCCATGATGTTCTGTTACTAGTACAAGTTAGAGATAATGTACCTTGGGTTAGTAGTGTGGTCTCATTCAAAAGTCCATCAACTTCTTCTAAGGAATTCCAGTTTGCATAGGCATCTCTAACCAATGACTCAATATAGGCCTGTACATTCAAGTATTTCTTCAAAATGATAAATGTAGTACTGAATAATAAATACGGAGAACGCAAGAATGACAAAGAACAAGAGTGTGTTGTTGAAATCCATACCTTATGCATGCTCGTTAGGTCACAATCATTAGAGAAAATTTGCCCCTCAATCATAGCCGTCACAACTTGGCATATAGGATTCAAGACCACAGTGTAATTGGGTCCTCGGGATCTGTGCCGTTTACTGCCCAAAACACAAGTCCTGGCATGCTTTAAAGTTACTTCCCACATCTTTTCTGACATTCCTCTTCCTAATATCTGTTGAAATTAAAAAAGATAAGCATTATTAGGAAAGTTTCTTTCTTGAGTTTATGAGATACTCGGATGTTAAAATGAGCAAATTATAGTTGATCTCCTCAACAGCTCAATGACGACCTAATTTTACTGTTCTTTTAACTATTGAATTTCTCACGTCAATTGTTTGAATTGGTTTTATACTGCTTAAAATTAAAAAGTCCAACATATTTTGAACAGAAAAATTATTCCTGTTTGTAGTTAACTACATGTTTTCGGTGTTTATAATTAGGATAGTGTGTAGTTAGATGTACAATGTGAGTTATATAAAGTAAATAACTGTAATTAAAGGTAAAATGTGAAAACGTGACACTTGAGGGAACAGTATAAGATAAGAGACTGAAATTGGAAATACTGAAATTGCATACCCTCCTAAGCTTGGATGGGTCAACAACGGAGAGCTTCAAGAAATCTTGAACAGTGTCAATGCCCTCAGAAGCTAGCTTTTTGTGAAAACGACCATCTTTTCCAATCTTCTCAAGACGCCACACGTCATCCTCCAGCATTGGTGGGTGGTGCTTTTTGTACACTGCATTTGTGAAGAGAGTTGAAGCACTGTGAATATAATCTATAATGAAGCACATAAGTAACAAAAAGAGACAAAAAGACAATCACGGTGATGTTTGGCTAGGGAATACAAATCTATAGGCAAATCATTTTTTGACTACAAAAATAAAAACTACAAATTAATTAAATATTAAATAATTAAACTTGTGATAAAAATGAATAATGTGCTATTTTTTGTCAGAAAAATTATGTAGGAGATAAAATTCAAGTTGTTCAGTGGTTTATTATATAAATGTGTGTGCTTGGAGGGGAGGGGGGGGGGGGGGGCC